TCATCTCTTCCTAGCACTGATTCTCATCTCTCTCTCTCTCTCTCTCTCTCTCTCTCTCACACACACACACACACACACACACACACAGAGTCACTCACGTGTTTTCCCTCTATAGCCAACAGTAGCTTCTCGGTTCCATCAGTGGCTCGACTTTCCCAGAAGAAAACCCATCAGCTCTGTGAAGAAGGAGGTGGGGAGGAGTAGAGAGGAAAGAGAGAAGAGAAGGCAGCAGGAGAGGGAGGAAGGAAAGAGGGAATCTGGAACAGGTAGAAGAAACAGGCTAAAGGAGGGGAAAAACTGAAAGCCAAGGTGACTGCGGAGATGCCAAGGAAAGGAGAAAGAGAAGAGGGCAGCAGACCCCACAGCAGTACCTCACCCCCCCCCAACACACACACATGCAACAGTCTAGGACCTCTGCTGCCCCTGTGGGCCCCCCTCATTCTTCCTTTCCCTCCTTATCTCCCCCGCCCTTTTCCCCCAGCCTGGTTACTGAGAGCACTGGAATGAGGAGGGGGTCATGTAACCTTCCTGAGGAGGATGAATCAGAGAGAGATGGTTCAGACATCTGGAGGGGGGGAGGGAAAACCATCCAAGATGGAGGAAGAGGGAAAGGAGCCAGGGGGGAGACTGAAAGGCTGATGGGGCTAAGAGACTAAGTGTGAGGGAAGACAGGCACCTAGAGAAACTGTTTCTGTCTGGGCTCATGTATGTTGACACACCTATGTGTGCATGTACATGTGTGTATATATGTGCACAGAGATTAGTGAAACATATGGGAGGAAAGAAAAAGAAAGGGAATTGGGGGACCAAGAGTGAATGGGCATGGTAGTGTTCCAATATAAATATGTAGTGTTTTCCAATCTATATGGCTGTGTTTTTGCCTGTTTCCAAGTGTCTGTTTGTGTGGGTTTTGATGCCGCCCGAGCGCCAATATACCTGTATAGTTAAGAGTCTTGAGTGCCTCCAGTCTGGGCATCTGCTAGTGTCTGAAAAGTGTGCCTGGGTTGGTGTGTCAGTGTGTGTGTGTGTGTGTGTGTGTGTGTGTGTGTGTGTATACACATGTGTCTTTGTGCAGTTCTCTGGGTCCTTTCATGCCTGTTAGTATATGTTAGAGATTATGTGGACTTCTATGTGCCTTTGCTCTTTCCTGTACCTTCCCCACATTCATGTTTTCTCTAGATTTTTGTGCCATAAAGCCTCAGTGTCCAAGCCGTTCATTTGCAGCCGTCAAATTGTGGTCCTTGCCCCTTGTTTTCAGAGTGTTCCCTCATTTCTATATTCTTCTCCAACTCCCCACTCCTTCCTTTCTCTACTGTAGTCTCAGTCATCATGAGGTGGGAAGGGGGAAGCAAAGTGGAAACCTCAGGTACCAATGGCAATGGACTTGGTGATTCCATAATCTGGATCTAGATCCCTTTTATCTGCAGGGTCTCTGAGTGTCTGGGTCTGTTTCTGCCTCACTCCTTTCCAGTTCCCTACCTGGGTCAAGTTTGTTCATGCACACTCTACCTCTCAAAGGTGTACTGTATTCTTCATACCCTGCTGCCTCTAGGGGCTTCTGGAAAAAAAAAAAAAAAAAAGCTGGATTGGGGACAGTTTCCTGGAATGGGAGAGAGAGGGAGATGGCAAGAAAGAAAGAGAAATGGAGACAGAGCTGGAAAAGGCAAAGCTGAGATGGGGACCTGGAGGGGACGCCTGGTGTTTGCTCTGAGTTGTCTGTACAAATCCATTTCTCTTTGTCTTTGTTTCTGAGTCTCCCATTCTCCAATAGGGCAGGAGGAAAAGACGGGGTCCAGCAGAGTAGTGATCCAAGCTAAAGATTTGGAAAGCCAGAGGAGGGGGCAGAGCATTGTGTCTTTTCCCTGAAAAAGTTTGGGAGAGTAAGAAAGCAGGGGCTTGTCCCTTTCCCCCTCAACACAACACCCCCTTGCAGCTAATGGTTCCCCATTTCTCCCCTTCCCCCCAACCAGTGACTCACCTCTGCAGCCTTTCATTGCGTCAGCGATGGGAGGTGGGGGGATAGGCAGTTCGGAGACACTTTATGAGAGGGGCAGGGGTCTCCACTTCGAACAGAAAGAAGCTGTTGAGGTACCCCCCCCTGAAAACGGCCCCATTAGAATGCATTATTGCCCTATTCTCTGCCACCCAAGTTCAGTAGGGTGGGGAGTCCTGGGAAGGGGACTGGGAGAGGGCTGGGGGCCACTGGCATGTCTAGGGTTATAGGTAATAGGAAAGGGTTGCTCACCCTAATTTTCTGTCCCCAGGTCCCATTCCCTCATACTCCCACCCACTTCTGAGTGGGGGAGGGGATGCCCAGGAAGCTGGGGGAGGGCAAAGCCGCAGAGATGAGTCACCAAGAAAGGGAGAGAGAGGAAGAGACAGAGATGAGGAGAGACACAAAGAGAGACAACTACTGGAAAGACTGAGAAAGGAAAAACACACATGCCATGAAGGTGATATCCACAAAGTAACAAGAAAAAGAAAATTGTTTACTTCCATAATTCTGAATCAGCCTTCTCCAACACCCACCTGTCACACAGACACAACACACTACCATTCAGAGTTACATTGATATTCTGAGACACACCCATTTGCACAAACACAATGTCACACCTAGCCTAGCTGGGTCATGAAGACCCATGATGAAGATGCGACAGAGTAATGGAGATTCACGTTGAGAGCCTTCATTCTTCTTACATGGGATGTGGAAGTGGGTAAAAACCCTGAAGGTATGTGACTTCAAAAATCTAAGATGCGGATCAAGAACTCAGAGGCTACACCTTGCACACACGACGACACACTCACAGTTCCCTGCCTCCCCGTCCACACATACAAAGCAATATATCAAGCATCGTCCTCACCAAAAAGACACTTGGAGTACCTGATTCTGGGGTACACCAGCCACGTTGTCCCGAATACATCTCACCCAGACACCCCCTTACTCGTACACACATGTACAGAAACGCAGACACACAAAGAAGCCCATGTACACACTCATACGGACGGAAACCACCTGGCGCTGCCTCACCCGCGTACACACACACACACACACACACACACACACACACGCACGCGTCCTGGCGCCCCCGCGTGTTACTTTTCGGGATCGCAGGCTTCACCGCTCCGGAGCTCGGCTCAAGGGGAAAGCGGTGGCCAGGGTACCTCCACCTTCTGTGTGGTGCCCATTCAGAAATGGAGAAAGCGAGCGTGCTGGCCATGAGAGAGTTGAGAGCTGGATCTTAAGGCTGGATCTCAAGGCTGAGGGAGGCTGGTCCTGGATACCATGAGGAACTTGGGGGAAGAGCCCATAGAATTTGTACAGCACTTACTACCAGATCCAGGGGAAAGCGAGGCAGGGCACCGCGCTACTGCCCGCCTTTCTGCTTCCTGGCTGGCGTAGGGGTTGGGGCGCACAAGGGCTAGCAGCCTTTCCCTGCTCTCCTCCAGGAAGTCATTAGCCCCATTGTCACAGGGCTTAGAGATCCTCTCTAATACAGGCTACAGGGGAAAGGGAAGGATAATTCATGTCATGCCTCTCCACTGAGAAGTAAAACAAACACAGGGTGGGCTAAGAGTCCATTTTATTGCAACACAGCCTTGGTTGAAGTGACAGGGAGGGTGACAGCATGGCCAGGCACAGGAGGCAGAGGAACACATCGGCAAAACCAGAATTGCAACACTGGTGAAGCTTTGGTGGTCCTCTTTGCCCACCTTCTACCTCCTGGCATCCTTGTCTGTCTTGGATTCCATCCCAGCGAACCCTGTGCTCACTGTCAATGTATCCTTAGCAGCTGTTCTTTATCCAACAAGAAGTTCAAGCTACTGCTGTTAAAGAGAGAGGTTCTGAGGCATGTTTCAGGCTTGGGATACCTGGGTTCTAGTCCCTGTGAAGCTCCCAGCTACTGCAAGTGACTGGGAAGTCACTTTAATCTTTCCGGCCTCCATTTCCTTCCTCTGTGGTAAATGTGAGGATCCAGTGTAGAAGACAGTGCTGTGCAATACAGCTGTTGCTACTTTCATTTAAACAGAAGACTGTCAAAGTACAAAAAGCATAAAGGAACTAGAGAAAGGGAGGAGTGTCCAGAAATAATACCTGGAAGTGAGGGTTCCAGTCTCACTAGAAAGCAGCCTGGTTAGTTAGAATCGGGAGACAGCCCCACAATGGCTGAGGGACAAACTCTCCAGCCTGAACCCTCTGGTTCTGCCACTAGTTGGGGGCATTAGGAGGGGGCCTGTGAAATAGCAACATAGTGCAAAATGGGAGGAAAATTCCGTCAGAGGGTGCAAGCTCAGAAAGGTGCCTTACCAGAGCGTAAACTGGGGGTCAAAGTAAGGGGAGAATTATAAATCTATTTCATTTACATGGTCTCTGTATTGCATACAAGGTGGGTAATAGAGTTAATGGGGAAAGGAAAGTAAGAGGCAATGAGGAGCTAAGTATCTGGGAGGTCCCGGAAGGAGGAAGATAGGGGTACAGAGAGGAGGAAGAGGACACTGATCTAGAGGCACAGGAGGCTAAGAGGGTAGTGAGGGGAGCAAGGGGAAAGCTCTGGGAGCTTGAGAAAGAGCAGGAGGAAAAAAAATTGATATCCGGCAGCTGTGCTCCTGGAGAGGTAATGGGCGTTGCACACACTTCTATCTGCTTTCACTCAGGAGGCAGAAGGGAGAAGCCAGGAGGGACAGAGTTCGCTCCCAGGGCAATAGACAGGAAAAGCCTGTGAAGGAACCTGTTCTTTGGCCGGGGAGGGAGAAAGGTGGACAATAGCAGCGCAAGGGGCTCCACCAAACCCAGATTAGGATCTGGCTGTGGGCAACGGCATTTGCGTATGTTAAAGGCAAGATCGCAGACCAAGAGATAAGGGGGACAGGAAAAAGAGGGTCCGGCCACGGAAAGGACAGGAGGCAGGGTAAGGGGTGGAGCTTGCAAATAAGGGCAGGGTTTTCTGGGGATCTGAGGAAGGGGACGAGTCCAAAGCGCTTTTTCTCAGATAATAGAGGCCTCAGATGTCGGCCTCCAGCAGGTACTGCTCAGTATAATCCTTGACCAGCTCGAGCCCCAAGCCGGCCTGGCAAAAATAAGCCAGCTGTGACCACAATTGCGGCGCCGGGAAGAGCTGACACATGACGTTGAGGCCTGCGAGGCGCGGCGCCTGGCGCTGCAGGTGCCACAGAAGCTGGCTCTGCACCTGAGCGCAGTCGCAGCCGAAGGCATCGATGTTGAGATAGCACCACGTGCCGTCGCCACCATGAGGGATAGGGAAGGAGCGTGTGCACAGCGTGATCACGCGCGGGCGCGTGCGGCTGTCCACTCGCCACTTCAAGGCCTTGGATGCCAGCAGGCGCAGGTTGCTCTCGCTCGGCTGGTAGGGCTGCCAGTCCTGGATGATGGTCCCGCCCGGGAGCACGTCGCGCTGCACCGAGGGCGACAGCAGGAGGCTTGCCCCGTCGCCGCCTGCTTCTGACAGGGCCTCGGTGGGCAGCGGTGAGAAAATGCCAGAGTCCCGCAGCGCCGCCAGCCTGGTGCCCAGCCCTGCCAGCAGCGCCGACGCGTTGGTTGAATCGGACCAAAAGGATGCCCTGCGGAGGGCACAAGTGAGCAACGGATGGGAGGCTGGAGAGCTGGCGAGCCGAGCCGAGCCGGGCGCCTCTGCCTCTCTGCATCTTCACTCCCACATTCATAACCAAGGGTTCCCACTTGGGCCCCACAGGGGCACAGATCGTGCAGTGCAGGGTGAAATGGGATATATGAAAGCCTAGGTCCCCAAGGGTAGAATGGGCGAACCAGGGGCAAAGCCTCCAAATAGGAGAGGTGGGGTCAGTGTGGAGTATCCAAGGAACTGGGGGTGTGGGCCCCGGAGTCTCTGAGAGAAGTGGAAGTGAGGAAGCAGATCAATTGGTAGGATGAAGGAGGTGGGGAAGGGTAACGGCTCAGATGTTTGGGTCCCTGAAGAGAGATAGGATCGATGTAGGGGAGGCAGGGTCACGGAAGTCTAGACTCCTGGGCTCTTTAGTCTCCCGAAGAACTGCGGGTTTGACAGCTGGGAGTCGGGAGCTGTTTGACTTCCCTTTGGCAAAAGGGCCTGGGGTAGTTAGAATAACGACTGGGAGTCCCAGGGCAAGGCTCAAGGGCGCCCCCACTCGGTAGAGCCGGCAGACAAAGAAAAGCCAGTGACTGGCTGAGTCTGGGGAAGGACGCCGAGCCCCCTTGTCCTTCTCACCTGCTTGGTGATTAGGCGGTATTTCTTCAGTTCCCGGGGGCCCAGCTGGTCGTGCCACCTCGACCCCCGGGTGCTGTTGCTTGACCAGCTGCGAGCAGAAGCACTGCAGCAGCCCGGCCACGCCCTTGCTTGTTGTTCCCAAGGTGCCACGCGCAGCCCCTCCACCAGCGCCGTCTTCCCGGCGTCGATCACGTGCACCGACTGCAGCGCGATCTGTGGACCCAGGCGGTTAGGGGGTCCCTTCCCCGCCTCCGCCCCTTTCGGCTCACAGGGCTCGCCTCTTCCCACACGCGGAGCTCTCCTTTGTCATTACCCTGGGCGCTAGGCCAGACCTGGTGCTTGTCAGAGAGCTCTCCTCGCTCAGCACTTGGGTGTCGGATTCCATAGCTGGCCGTAATGGTCTTTCATCAGGGTCGCTTCCACCTCTTCAGATGTTGTAGCTCCCGGTGCCAACAGGTTCCTAAACACTCGCCACGGCCCTTTCCTTAACCCCACTCCCAAGAGATCACCACGCCCCAGTTACCTACCTTGTCCCTTTCCTCTTGGCTCCTCTCTGGAGCCCATCTCTGAACTGGTCCTGTTCGCCCACCGCAACCAGGCCTTTGTATGAGAGGTCCGTCTACTCTGGGGTCCTGGCCCCACTTCCTGCTCCACTTTTTTGTGCTCCTGTTCCCAGAAACTCCTCAAACAAATCCTCAAATACCAAAGCTCTCACCTGTCCCTCGGATCCCTCCACTATTCTGAGTTCTACAGGTCCCCAGTCCACCTCAGTAACTAGGCCCCTGGATCTGTACACCCTACTCTTTGGTTCCAAAGCCTACTCTATATCCTTAGCAACCTGACAAGGGCTGGGGAGGGAGAGGCTCGCTCCCTCTCCTTCCTAAGATCCAGGCATCCAAACTTGGCTTCACCCCTTTTCACCTGGGCCCCCTACCCCGGTTCTCACCACTCCTCCATTGCTTCTCACCACTCCTCCATTGCGCTTGGCCAACACCAGGGTGCGGTTGGGATCCCGGAGCCAGCTGTGATAGCAGCTGGGAAGATAGTGGAGGCCACCGTAGATGCCCCCAGAGATGGCCAGCACCTCCTCAAACTCCCATTCTGTGGCTACCATGAAGTCCAACTGCTCAGCCTCTGCCTCAGGCTCAGATCTGGACCTGGGCTTGACCCATAAGAACTTGGCCTTGGCCTCAGGCCCTGAATTGGCCCCCAAAGGCTTGTTCTCAGCTTCCACCCCTGATCCAGACTTGGACTTAGCCCTGGCCTCCTGTGACAGGTTTTCTGAGAGTGGTTCTGCATCTGGCTCAGCCTCTTTTTTGGGCTCTGAGGTGGCTACACCACAGCCAGCTTCCAGCTTCATTACCCTGCAGAAAGAGAGAACCCAGCATTAGGGTCAGAGCCCACTGTTTCCACATCTGGCCCCCTACACACAAACAGTCCTCACAACCCCTTCCTATACAAATACTGCTTCTCTTCTGCGCTCCTAGGAATAGAGGGCCTCCAGATCCCCACTCCCACCAGCTCCAAGAACTCCCAATCCTACCTTGTTCCACCCAACTAAGATGTTTCTTAACACTCACAAACTCAGGACCCTGTGAGCTCCCCAGAGATTAGCCCCTGACCCCCTCATCCCCAGTCAGCCAAGAACTCAAATGAAAGAAGGGGGTATAAATAATAGAGGAACACCCCTTCAAGGGCCCTACCACCTCTCTGTAAGAACATGAGAAATTTCCATCATCCCCACTCCCCCTCCAGAAGGGTTTCCAGGGAAAGCAGAGGATTCAGCTCCCCCACCTTTCCTGCCACTGTCACTTACCATTCCAGGGCAAAGGGAGGGAGAAGTAGACCCCAGATCTCCATATCGCTGCCCCAGTGCCCTCCAGGCCCGACACACATATTCAAACACAAGCCAAAGGAGTGGACAAATGGATAACTCCATTATAAAATTGCAAGCCAGCCCTGGCCGGTTTGGCTCAGTAGTTAGAGCATTGGCCTGCGGTCTGGAGAGACCCAGGTTTGGTTCCCGCTAAGGGCACATGCCTTGGTTGCAGTTTGTCCCCAGCCCTGGATGAGTCGTGTGGATGGCAACCACTCAATGTGTCGATGTCTCTCTCTCTCTCTCTCTCTCTCTCTCTCTCTCTCTCTCTCTCTCTCTCCCCCCCCCCTCCCACTCTATCTGAACAAAATATCAAAAAATGTTCTTGGGTGAGGAAAATAAATAAATAAATAAATAAATAAATAAATAAAAGAAAATCGCAAGCCATTGCTTCCAGGCTCCCCTTCCTTCCTCCTTGAGTCTGTTCCCTCCTTAGGGAGACTTGGCTCCATTTCAGGTTGAGGTGATCATTTTGAAAAGGGTTCTGTTGGGGCTCCAGCAAACAAAATGTCCACCAAGATTACCCATGCTCCCTCTCCATTTTCCTTGCCTCCAAAGACAGAGTCCTTCCTCTTCTCTCTCCTCCCCCTTCCTCCTTTTAAAATGTGTTCCTGCGCCCTGGCCAGTTTGGCTCAGTGGTTGAGCATCAGCCTGCGGACCAGAGAGTCTTGGGTTTGGTTCCCACTAGGGGCACATACCACAAAAACAAAACAAAACAAAATAAATAAAATGTGTTCCTGTGCCCTGGCTGGTTTGGCTCAGCGGTTAGAGCATTGGCCTGGGATCCAGAGAGACCCAGGTTCGGTTCCCGCTAGGGGCACGTACCTCGGTTGCAGTTTGTCCCCAGCCCTGATTGGTAGTGCGGGTGGCAGCCACTCAATGTGTCCCTTTCACATCGATGCTTCTCTCTCTCTCCCCCCGCCCCCCACTCTATCTGAACAAAAAAATGGAAAAATGTCCTCGGGTGAGGATAAATAAAATAAAATAAAATAAAATGTGTTCCTGTCATCTTTGCCCCATCTCCCACACAGGACTTTCTGCCCTTTCCATTCCTCAAAGTCTCCTTTCTGGGTCAATCCTCTGTGGATCTGGCACCTATTTGGCCTCTGACTTTTCTCTTTTCCCTGCCCAGAGACAGGGTAAAAAAGAAAGCCCCTCTCCAAGTCCTGATGACCATTTCCAGACCTTCCTCCTCCAGACCAACCAAATCAATCAATCAAATCCCCCTTCTCTCTCTTTCAGCCAATTATAATTCTCCCCTCACATAACCTGCAATAAGCCTCATTAACCAACATCCCAGGGGGGACACATCCAGCTAATTTGTGGAGGGTGACATTGGCTTGGTTGGATTTGTTGTTGTTGTTGTTAATCCTCACCAGAGGACATTTTCCCATTAATTCTTAGATAGCATGGAAGGGAGGGAGGGGGAAGAGAGAGAGAGAAAGAGAGAGGAAGAGAGAGAGAGAGAGAGAGAGAGAGAGAGAGAGAGAGACATTGATGTGAGAGAGACACATTGATTGGCTGCCTCCCTCATGATCCCGACCGGGCCAGGGTTGAACCTGCAACCCAGGTACATACCCTTGACCCAGAATCAAATCTGAAACCCTTTAGTTAGGGCAGAAACTCTAACCACTGAGACAAACTGGCCAGGGCTGGAGTTTTTGGTTTTTTTTTCGTTTTTTTTTTAATTATTGAAAGTATTACAGATGTAATTTTCCCTGACTGACCCCTTCCTCCCCAGTCCCACCCCCTCCTGCTTTCCCCAACATAATATCTGTCCATTGATTGTGTGTGTGTGTGTGTGTGTGTGTGTTTTAAACAAGAACATGGGAGGGAAGAGATAAACCACAGAACTTATATGCATGTATGCATAACCGATGGACACGGACAACAAAGCCGGGTATGGGGTGGGGGGGTTGGGGAGGAGGGTGTCAATGGGGGGAAAAAAAGAGAAACATCTGTAACAAAAATAAATTAATAAAAAAATTATTAAAAAAATAAAAACAAGAACATGACCTAGGCTTGGGAGAGGCACGTGGTTTTGGGATGATTTTCACTTCCATAACATAAACAGAGCTTATGTAAACACAGGGTGCTTGCTGCACAAATAAACTGCAAAACTTGAGCACCATCTCCCTCTTTCTTTTCAATCAATGCTGATGCATAAGGCTCTTCCAGGTAAGACAGTTCAGGCCAGTATCATCAGAGGCACAGTCTCAGAGGATCTTAGAGCACCAGCTTAAGTCATCAGAGACTACCAAGTTCAACCCATTCCTTTCACAGTGAGGAAATCCAGGCCCAAGACTATAACCTTTTCTGGCTCCCAGGCCAGAGAGGGAGCCAGAAAAACATAATTTTAAAATCTTGTGTGTGTGTGAGTGTGTATGTATGTATCTGGATCTCCAAACACAGCCCGAAGAGTGAAGATAGGAATAACTGGGTCCTTGGCAGGAGTCAGACAGAGGTCTCAAGTGCTAAGAACTGAGCTGACTCAGAACCAGAGATAGGATTGTGGGAGGAACCCCCACTGCCTTCCTCCTACTTTCAGCAATTTCTAGGCTAACAACAAGCTCAAATATCAGACCCCTTGGACCGGGCTCTAGGGATAATGAGTCCTAGAGATGAGCAAGTTAACTTGTGGTTCCCATCAGCATCTTCAGGAAACCTCACCAGCTATTCATGGGTGCCTGGAAAATGAAACCTGGTAATTTAGGGATAATTTCAGCAATTCCCCACTGCTCCCAAGGGGGGCAGAATGTGAGCAACTTGTAAACTGGAACACATCCAACAAATCTAAGATAGGCGTCCTAGCCGGTTTGGCTCAGCAGTTAGAGCTTTGACCTTCGGTCTGAAGAGGCCCAGGTTTGGTTCCCCCTAAGGGCACGTAACTCCGTTGCAGTTTGTCCCTGGGCCCGGTTGGGTGTGTGGGTGGCAACCACTTGATGTGTCCCTTTCACATAAATGTTTCTCTTCCTCTCTCTCCCTCCCACTCTATCTCAACAAAATATCCAAAAATGTCCTCGGGTGAGGATAAAATAAAAATAAAAAAATAATAATAATCTAAGACAGGCTTTTCTTTCCCTCCCTAGCTTTCAAGATGAGCAGACAATTTCCAGTGGTGTCTCAAAATCTCAGACTAGCCCTGGCCGGTTTGGCTCAGCGGTTAGAGCGTCGGCCTGCGGTACAGAGAGACCCGGGTTCGGTTCCCGCTAAGGGCACGTACCTCGTTGCAGTTTGTCCCCGGCCCTGGTTGGTCGTGCGGGTGGCAACCACTCGATGTGTCCCTTCACATCGATGTTTCTCTCTCTCTCTTCCTCTCTCTCCCTCCCGCTCTGTCTGAACAAAAAATGCAAAAATGTCCTCGGGTGAGGATAAAAAAAAAACTCAGACTAGGTTGTAAGGGGTGTGTGTGTGTGTGTGGGGGGGTCGCCAGGGTCACAGGGAAGAAGGAAAGGCTTGCCAATTAATCACCTATCTTTTCTTCCAAGGCAGTCCTTTACTTTTATTCCCTTTTGGGGGAACACAAAGATTCCAAGGTCTTTAAACTCTGGAGGAGGCGAGTGCTGGGAAAAAAGTAGGCCAGGGGTTCCAGGCCAACCCAAAGCTGAGGCCAGCTCCACAACCCTTGCTCCATACTCTGATCACTTCCCACCATCCGGTATGATACCCTCCAACCTGGTTCCTTGAACTATAACACCCATCAAGTGTCTAGGCAGAGGCAGCCCTGTGCTTCCGAGGCACTGTGGGAAATGTAGTTCAGGCATCTCTTGGACCAAGCTACAGGAAGAGGGGCAGCATTTCCCTCACCATCCATATCCTCACATCCTTGTATCTGTTCTTTCTATCTCATAAATATGAACGGTCACTCTGGGGAGAGGGGGATGATTGAAGTAATCGCTGGGCATGCTGGGAGCTCTCCCCATCCCACCTCCACCGCACCCCACACACCTGAAATACTGATGCCCTTGAGGTCCCAGCTTTGGGGAGCTGGATGAGAGAGGAAAGGGGGCAAGAGCGGAGAGGCGGAGACAGAGAGGCAGCTACACAAAGTGCGCAAAGACAGCAAAAGCACAAGAACAGAGGCAGAAAGGGAGACAAAGGCGAACAGGGAGATTCCTTGGAGAGAGGATGGGAGAGGAGAACGGGAGAAGGCACGAATACCGAATCACAGACATGACACCTCATGACTCAGGGCTCAGCTGATGCCAAAAAAAGTCCCGGCACTGCACCCCCTCCCCAGGTAGCCTATAAATAGAAAGCATCGTGACACACCCCCTTCTCCCCGGTGTGTGGTGGGGGAGGGGGTCTAGGACAGGAGAAAACCAGAAAAGAGGCTGGAAGAGAACAGACACCTGGAGAAAAAAATCAGGGGAGACAAGGTGAAGTGGGGCAGAGGCAGGGAATGAGGAAGACGGACCAAGGAGTCGGGGAAAGAGGGTGCCTCAGAGGGCCACAACCATGGAAAACGGGGTTGTACTGGAGGG